TCTGTTCCCAGGTATCGCGCGCATGAGGCTTCAAAGCTGTGGTTTTCAAGCTAAATTCAAGGTGGCCTGAGACCAGGGTTTGCTGCCCTAAAGCACTCTGTTCAGGCCACCTTAAAAATGAAGGTCTGCGAAGCGAGAGCAAAGGATGCACATTGTCCTTCTGCTGCTTGAATGTGGCCTTTTGTTTACTTAAAAGTCCAAGACCTCCCAGCTGTTTCCACCTCTTCGCTTCCCAGTCTTCCCAGGGTTCATATAGGGAGCCAGGCCATTTTCAGAATCTTCTCTGGATTTGAGCTGTTCGAGTTCCTATTGAAGGGTATATGTTCTAGTTGGCGAGTGCGTCACCACCCGCTCCAAAAGCATCAAAGCATCGCCTCCCAGAGTTTACGTAAATCTTTCTCGAGCCACACATGCACAGCAAACCACAGCTTTGAAGTCTCATTCGTGCTTTGAACTTGTATAGGTGTGTAAGAGGTATAGCAACATAGCATTTATACGGACCCAGGGTAGCTACAATTCTGTTCCCAGGTATCGCGCGCATGAGGCTTCAGAGCTGTGGATTGCTGTGCGTGTGTAGAGGTTATCGAGCGGTTGACGGAAAGGGAACTTGAAGTACTATACCTGGTAGCTGCACTATAGCTACCCTGGGTATCTATACCGGGTAAGGTGCTAACTGCACCTTTCCATTCAGATGATGCAAATGATGCAAATTGCATTTCTTGCATCACCACCCCTCAAAAATCACCTCCAACGCAACCTCAAAAAGCCTTCCCTCGATGCACCCTCCTCCCCCAGCATGTGCCGAGTTTACGTGTACCTTTGCGGGCCACCCCCCAGACCCCCTAACTACTCACTTCGTTCGCCAAGCACAACTCAGCTGGCGCCTTCTACGAAGGCTGGCTTTCGTAACATGGATCTTAACCCCTTGTCAAATCAACCACGGGATCCGGGAAAACCAGCTGATTTGCCATCGTTCAACACATCTTGCTCAGAAAAACTAGCAGTTCATCAGCTTAACCCTTAGTGCTTCATCTCACACTTCGCATCCCAGCTTGTGCCCTCCGCCAGCCCGGCCGGCCAGGCCCATTCTCAGGGTCTGACGGATCGGGCTTGTCGATTCCTGAGGCGATCGAGGCGGACGTGACGGAGTTGGTCTCACTTCCAATGGAACATGCTTGTTTGATCATCAAGCAAGACCAAGAGACATTTGCGTCATACATCTGAACACTTCTGATACATGTGGAGTATCACCATATTGATCATTGTACAGTATATACCAGCTTCTTCAAAGTGACCTTTTGAAGGTTCTTAAGTGACCCTTAGGAGGCTTAAGTGACCTCAAACCAGGTTATCAAAAGGTCACTTTGAAGAACCAGGTACTTATATATATATACTTTTTGATGGAATGACGTTGATGTTCAAACTGCTCTGGCTTCGTGCCACGGTGCCACCAGGTTTTATTTCCGTGCGGGGACGCATGACGCGTGCATCGTCATGCGACCGTCTTCACCAGGCGGCTGTAGATTTTGGACACGGAAAGGTTGAAGTCATACTTGTGCGCCCAAGGTTGACAATTGGTCATGAAGTATTCCTGAGCGACTCGAGGCCATCGATCCACCGGTGACATGGCCACACCAACGGATCATGGTCTCAGCGACCAAGCTACAGCTGATGTTTGCGTCTCTCCGAGTCGCCGTTCCAAGTCCTCCCATGTTTCACTCTATCTAATACTCTAGGACTCGGGCAGCTCTACGGCGGCCCCACGGGTTTCAAAAGCTTCAATTTGCGCGCCAAGAGAGAACTGTTCGGCGGTCTATGGGGTGAAAAGGGCTTCAGGGCTTCATCTGCGAGAACCGGCTGGTTTGGTCCGAGCTGGTCTGGCTGCCAAGAGTCCTTCTGGCTCCGGAACCTGAAGGATCGGTGCTGCTGTTTTTGCGGGGTGCCGGACATCCAGCCATGCAAAACATGGATCATTAATATTTTTATATATAAGTCCGATCTCCTTCATTCCCATCAAAAAGAAACACAGCACATTTCACATTGGGGATTCCTCCCCCACCAAGCATTTTAGTTAGTGCCGTTGTCTGGAAAACTTGGGAGGAAAGTCACACTCCGCGAAGCAATCTGTTATGGAACACCTGATATATATATATATAATCCCCCAGGCCCTAGGCCATCATCAAAGCGCATCGTCACTGTCCAAATTCAAGGAACCAAAGAACCTCCCAGCCAAACACCCTAGCCCCCCCCTGAAGGGAGACTGATCAAAACAACAACCTGAGCAAACCCACAACCGGGACACATGGTACATGGCAGTTTCAGGATTCAAAGTGAACTCGCTTGTAAGAATTGGGAGGCTATGAACAACAGCACAGCCCTTTGGATTGAACATGAAACATGAGCACATCCTGGTGCGAGACATACCTTGAAGTGAGGGGCCCGCGGAAGGTTGGTTTCCTACCCATATATGAGTCAGGTGTTCTCAATTTTTGCCCGAAGACTTGGGGGTGACCAGGATCTGGCGATATTGTAAACATATGCTCTTGGATTTGCTGATTGGGGACCTATATTATATATTATGTTATATTATACTATATACAACATATCATAGAGATCGAGAGAAATATGCTAAGACAAATTCATTGCCAGGGTTCCACCGTGAGAGAAACCGACCTATCTATCTGACCCACTAGTCACTATAGCATGGAAGTAGAACAGGTTCGGCCTTGGAAGACCATTTTGCTCATGCCGAGGGGTCCGGGGTGAACATCCACATCGGACGGTGAGTGGGATATCGGATAAGTCAAATTCAATTCATCTCTCACCTGCAATGCTTTGGGAGCCGAACTCTCTTCCGATGACAGGATCCGAAGCCTAACATGTTCTGAATGGTGAACTGGCACCTTTGCGGGAGCTGCTCCGCAAATAAGAAGCTCATGTGCCCAGAAGAGTCCACAGTTCAAGCCGAATTCATGGGATCAAACATACTGCAATGCGCCTGATACGGCTGCCGTGCAGGTATCACAATATATAAGCACCCAAAAAGTGTCCAAAGTTCTGTTCGATCCCCTCTCTTTCCCCGCAGTTTCGGAGCAAAACCAACAAAAAGAACAACGCCTCCTTGCTGTAAAGTCCCTTCAAACCACCTCCAACTTCTGCCCATGCTCCAGTCTTGTCCATCTCCTCTCACACTTCCTTCGCTTCTTCCGGGCAGCTCATCGCTGTTCTTTTCCACCTCCTTCACATGAGGCCAAGCACTGGGGTCCAAGTCGCGGAGGAAGATCACGCCGAAGATCCTCGGTGACACCCTCTTTGGGCCTGGTGGCCCCGGTGAAGGCGGTTGAGCGCTTCGGGTGATGGAGGGTTTCTTTGGGTAGCAGAAAGCACGTGTCGAAACGCGCGTTCCTTTTTGCGTGGGCAGTGGGGAGGACGTAGAGGAAAATCAGATCTGAAGCACCATGGATGGCCCTGAAAGCTCTATTTAGGCCCCGAGGTGGCTAGGAGATTGATCTAGGTTTGGCCATGTCTAGCGAGCGGGGGGGGGGGGCCAAAGTGCGGAGGCCTCCGCCAGGCCAGAATCCATGTCAAATTCGGGTAGGGGTTCCCAATGGCTATGGGCTGTGTCTGAGTCTTTAGCTGCA